AAAATTTCCGACTTCTGTTTTTTGAATATATTTTCCATTGCTTAATTTATGGACGACACCTTACCGTAATATCTGTAATTGATCAAAATTCGGAAAATCTGACATAAACAGCTTCTCAATATTTTTGTTGACGAAGCATATGTACTACTTGTGCATGTTATTTAACTTTTCAGCCAAAAATGGCAAAACTTTTAAAGAAATAGCATTTGCGGGTGTTAAACAAATTTGTTACTATTTTAGATTTTTTAGATTAGTACTTTATTTTTTGCTAGCTTTTTAATACAATATTTGGAATGCATTGTGAGAAATTAATTTTATTAGCAAGTTGCCAAGAAAATCCCTAAAATCGTTTGGAAAATCCCAATTCTCAAGAAGTTTTATCGAAGACACATTTTCACAGTTATGTGTATATCTTATACTGCTGAGTTAGATGAGCATGATGATGTCATACTCACCTAATGTCAAATAGTCTGCTACTGGGGGCTTCAGTACATACATCGACTGACAAATAGCCTGACTCGCAGTGGAGTGCAGCTATATCTACTGAGGGTTTGGTATGGGTCAGCAACCTTTTCATTCATTATTCTTCGTTTTCCCTCATTGTTTTCTAAAAACGCTCACTTAATTTAGGCTAGCAAAAAAAATGAGCAATTGCGCATATAAATTTGAGTGAAAAAACAAATATATTACAAAATATATATAAATATAAAATTATAAAATATATATAAATATAAAATTATAAAAATACCTCAACTTGCATGTCTTAAATATCCGGAAAAACTAATAATTGAGAAATATATTCGGAATTCCGGAAATATTCGGAAATAGATAATCCCTGATACATATCTTAGGGTGCCCCTTAAAAACAAATTTTTTTCAAAAAACCTGCTCTTACCCCCTAAATGTGTTCTATCTAATACAAAAACACTAGGTTTAAAATTTTTTTGAATAAAAAATATTTGAAGGGATCCCTCAAGACCCTCAAATATTTAATTGGTCCCTAATTTTTTCAAAAAAAAAATTTTTCAAAAATATGTGAACCTGGTACTCAAATGAAGCAAAATTATATAAAAATTTCAAAAATAATATTCATTTTGAAAAAATTTTAACTTATTAAAATTATCATTGAAAAACATAAAAAATGCATTTTTTTTTTTTTCATTTTTTGTTAAAAAACGTAATTTTTTAAGTAATACAACCAAAAATAAAAAATAAGCAGCTTGTTGCTGTTTAGAACTCAAATAAATCTGAAAATATATTGTCTATTCGCCTAAAAAGTATAATTTTCAGTCATTTTGATATGCTTGTAACTTTCTCTAACACTCTGTTTTGATCTAAGATTAACAACGTATAAGACCATTAGATCCAACTATCTAAAAATGCAAACATAAACTTTTCATGTTTGTACCAAAAATGCCAGCATTTTTAAATAACCCTATTTCTCGATTATCAACAGTTGAGTACATTATTGCAAACCAATAATGTACTCAACCGTTGTTCAAAAGTTTTGCTCACAAGTTGCTCCTTAGGAATGATAGTACAATATAATGTAATACTCATAAAACTATTATGAGTTTCAAGAAGAGTTAACAAACAACAAAACTCAGATTGGAAGCTCAGATTTGTTGAAATCACAAAATAACATTATGTTAGCAAATCTCTTCATACATTTCAGGGATAAGTTTCCTTTTAAAGACCTCACATCCTATAGTGAGGTCTTTGAATGAAAACCTATCCCTAGAAAGTTAATTTTATTGTATTTCTTCACAATACTGAGGTAATCTATAGTAAGTTTCAAAAATCATATCAATTCTGAAAGAAGAATATTTTCAAGTTCAGAAGATCCATTACTGAACTGATGCAGGTAGCCAGTATAAAAATAAGTAAGTTAATATTTTAATCTATAATATTTTAAAAATTCTAATTATCGTATACTATTCAAATAAAGGTTTTTTAAATTCAACCTGTAATATAAAAAGAAAAAGGCACATATTTTAAGCACCTATTCAGTAGGTATTTTTTCAGATTTTTTAGCAAAGCACATAAAAAAGTACATGCAATAAAGTAGATGATACTGGTAAAAGACTTATTAATAAACCGTCTCTTCAAATTTCAATTAGAAATCAGCTTTTGAAGATTGACACCAAAGGACACATTTTTAGTTGCTTAAGAAAAATGCAAAAACATCAAGTATATAGCATTTTAGTGTCTTAGTTTATGTTTTTTTTTTAAAGAAGTCCTTACAGTCTTGTCACAGAGCACTGCAGATGGGCATTTAATAGGAAGTTAGCACCTTCTTCATAACCGATGTCGCAAAACTTGCGCAGAGGTGAAGTTTGAACCATGGATCCTTTGTTTCTGACGTAAGTGCGCTACCACTGCACTATAGCTGCAATGTTTTATAATGTTTTATCATAATGGACTTCAACTAAAAATATTTATAATGGTTTATATTATTATTTATTAGAAAAAGTCAATTCTTATTTTTTTAAAGAAAGTTGTATAGAAAATAATTTATTAAAACAAGGTCTTACTAAATATATTTTTAAAATTGTGACTTCAAATATATATGATTTAAATTTAATTTTAGATTTCTCTATGTATCTGAAACAAAACAGCTGCAAAACACATGAAGTACTAACTAAATGAGAATGTTTCTGCTACACTAATTTAAGAATGCTCCTGCTATTAAAAAAAACTTCCACATACCATTATTTCTCACCTCAATCATGCTGCTTAAAAACAAATATAGCATCAATGAACAGTAAATTTGACACTTTTGACATGCTGAAAGATACTTGCTTACACAGAAGCCACTGAATTTACCATCAATATTAAATTAATCGCTGATTGGGTATTAGTGCCTTATTTTAGTGAATTCTTCCTGGAAAAATAACATATTCTTAAATGTGATTCTATTTGTGTTAGCTGTTTACAAAATGCTGGCAATTATTTGAAGTAGCCAATAACATCAGATATCCTTTGGTAGGCCAATAGACAGATTAGAGGGGCACTGGCTTCCAATAATGCACTCAACTGTAGATAATTCATCAGCTGAAAACCAAGAGGCAGTATGTCTGAAAATCAAGAGGCAGTATGTGTTTTTTCTGTTTATTATCAATAAATATTCAACAACCAATGGAGTATGTGTTCAATAAATCCACTCTTAAGAATGATACAACATTATAAAAATATTTGAAAAATTAATCGGACATTGTGTCAGAAAACCTTTACAAATTAAATTAATTTTAAAACTTGATTTTCTCAGAAACACAAAAAATGGACATACGGCCTCTTGGTTCCTCGCTGATAAATTAAAAACTAAGGTTATTTAAAAATGCTGGAATTTTTGGTGCAAACATGAAAAGTTTATGATTGCATTTTTAGATAGTAATTGTTGGATCTAATGGTCTTAAACATTGGTAATCTTAGATCAAAACAAAGTGTTTTTATCTAAGATTACCAGCAACAAGCTGCTTATAATTCATTTATTGCAAACAGTAGTAGCTAATCAAAAAACTTAACAGTTAACTTTATTTTTGCATATTTTAACATTTTAAAATTTTTTCCAAAGTTGAAGAGATTATAATTTTTCTTTAATACAATACAAGTTAATAAAAATCACTTTTTTTAGAGAACTATCCAGAAATCAGTTCTAGATAAAAATGAGACACTTGTTGAAAGTGAGAAAAAAGTTATTAGACTCTATAGTCTATTTTGACCATTTGTAAATCAAAGGAAGGGGGTGGGGCACTGTGTCATATTTGAAATTTATAATTTTAAAATTAGAGGTATTTTTTTAATTTACTATAATTTTCAGAACAGGTAATTTTAAACTTTTGAACCTTTTTTATTATTCCATTTTATATTTTTTTCACTTTTATATGTATATATTTTCTCTACTCATATCATGTTTGCAACACAAGCAACATATCTGCAACAGGCCATATCAATCATATCTACAACACAAGCAACAAATTGAATAACATAATCTGATCTTGAGCTCTTGCATAAAAAACTCTCTTGCTCTAAAATTTATTAATTTATACCTCTAAAATTGTTTGCAAATTTTAAAACTTTAATATTGATTTATTGTTAAATACACAGAGTAAATATCGACTAATGTTGAGAATGTTAAAAGTAAATAAAATATATCAAACTAAACAACTAATAATATTTATCATGCTGCATCAGGATATGTACAGAACCATATCTTACCAGCTTGAAAGATTGCTGCTACCTAGTATCGAATATAACTTGCAAAAAAGTTGAATCACAAATGGCTTTAGAGTATGAACTGGACTTATAAAACAGCAATTTTAAATAAATACAGTTTTAAGTGACAAGGGAGATAAAATGCTTACCTATATAAAAAGTTGTTTTAATCATATGTCAGGAAAATGAAGAAACTGATTGCTTTTACCTGGTTATCCAAGGTTTTTCTCCATGCAGGGTACTTTTGGCTAAATATTGCCTAACTTCTAATTTTAAGAAGTTAGGCAATATTTTACAAATTAGTGTGTAACATTACTGGAAAGTAATGTTACACACTAATTTGTTCCAATAATTTGTTTGTGGCTACTTGGTAGTAGGGTGGCTCTTAAAACAACTTTTTTGAGAAAAACCTGCTCTTACCCCCTAAATGTATTCTATCTAATACAAAAACACTAGGTTTAAAATTTTTTTGAACAAAAAATATTTTTAGGGGTAGCTCAAGGCCCTCAAAAATTTGATGGGTCGCTAATATTTTGAAAAAAAAAGTTCTTCCAAAGTATGTCAACCTGGTACTCAAAAGAAGCGATATTATATAAAAACTTCAAAAATAATAATCAATTTACATAAAAGACATTCCTAAAAAAATTAATCTCAAAAAACTGAAAATATTGACTTTTTTCATTTTCAGCTTAAAAACAATAGTTTTTATGCATTTATACCTGAACAAATTATTTTTATAGAAAATTATTTTCATTTTTAAATTTTTTATATAATTTTGCTTATTTTGAGTACCAGGTTGACATACTTTAGAAAAAGTTTTTTTTTCAAAATATTAGGGACCCGTCAAATTTTTGAGGGCCTTGAGCTACCCCTAAAAATATTTTTTGTTCAAAAAAATTTTAAACCTAGTGTTTTTGTATTAGATAGAATACATTTAGGGGGTAAGAGCAGGTTTTTCTCAAAAAAGTTGTTTTAAGAGCCACCCTACTTGGGTGGCTCTTACTTAGCAATTACTTGGTAATTGCTATGAAACTCTTTCTTTTATCTCCTTATGATGGTAAAGCTCTAAAAATCAGTTTAATGGTTCTAATGTTGACTGGTAAGAAGGTCTCCTGAACAATGTTATAACTAACTCCATCAACAAATATGAAATATCAGATTATTAACAGTGCCATATTGCAAATGGAAGGTGTCCAGTGCTTTTAGCAGGAATTGTCAAGGTCTCATAAGGAACTCTTTGTTTTAAAAAGTTCCTTATATGTCTTTGACATATATGGTTTATATGGCTTATATGGTTTATATGGTTTTACATAGATAACTTATATGGGTTTGCCTTATTCTTGCTAATCAATTGATTTGATTAGCAAGAATAAAGATATCACATAGCTTATTGCTTAGGGTGCCATTCACAATCTATGTACAAGTATTTATGGGTTTTAAAGTAAATTTTCATAAATTGTATTTTACCATTTGTAAAATTGGTCAGCCCTACCTGCTCTTTATAAGGTCAATCTAAACTCTGCTATTTTATCTTTATATTTTAGTGTTAATGGACATTATATTTTAATTCGCAAAGACTCACATGATCCAGGTTCTACGAATTGTTTTTTTTTTTCTTATGCAGCTGCTAATTCTAATTGTAACCATATTTTTTATCTTTCTAACAAAAAACAACTCTGAAAAGCACACTGCGGAAAAGCAATTGATTAGAAAGTTCACACTTCCTCCATTGACAATGTTGCTTACCTGGCAACAAAGTACAACAAAGCTATAAAACATCATAGACTATAACATTAACTCTTTTTTTAGGGCAATAAGAGCTGTTTACTAAGTCAGAATTAAAAACAAAATATAGATTAAATATATTATATTGCAGTTGGTTTTTTGTATTTATATTGCATCAGGAGAAGCTCGCAAAAATACAAGTAAAAATTTTTCTGAAACTGTTAAACAAACAGTTATCATACATAAAGTACAAACTGCTTTTGTTTTTAAAACCAACAATTGATATTGCATTACTTTATAAACAACTGTTCATTATTTTATAAACAACTACACTCTGATAACATAAAAGTGGGAAAACAATACATTTTGAATACAAAGTAAGATAACAAATCGCTATACTTTCGCTCAATAAAAATTGCCTCAAAAGCTTTAGACTATCTTACTTTATATACCAAAAAATAAAATGCATTTTTGATTTTAAGTACAAATTAAATAATTTTACTAAAAACTAATGTTTATAATGCTTAAATGCTTTATAATGCTCTAATTTATAATGCTTAAACGAATACAAAATAAATGTGATTCCATTATAAATGCGTAATAGCATTATTAAGCTTAACAGAGATACTCACTTATGTGATCAATGGATCCTGATCCAAATTTTCCATAAAATTTTTTAGCACCAAGAGAACGAAAATCTGTCAATAAAAATGGCCATAGATGTAATACATTGTTTCTTGTAAATTCGGTTCTTTTCTCTAATACTACTGTTTTACAACCTAATGCTAGCATTTCAATAGCTGTCCTTAGTCCAATAGGACCAGCTCCAATAATAAGACATTGTGTACCCTTCCCTACAATCCCTTGTTCATATTCAGATTGCTTAAGTTTAAGATTTAAAAGGTCCCATAGAGATTGGCATTTCCAGGTGGTAAGCTTAGACTTTAGGATGTCATAAAACTCTCTTCCGTGCAAACTACTATCAATGTTTAAAGATTTTACCAAAACTTTAAAATAACCAATAATATCGCAGCAATCTTCAGCCTCAGTAAAAATATTCCAAATTTCGTCAGGTGGATGAAAACTGGCTCGTTTGTAAGCAGCTGCGTTTCTTTGATTTAGTGTTGCATCAGTTTTTGAAATTTCTTCTTCATCTTTAACAACCCCATTTGTTTTTGCCATAAAGTAAATATGTTATTCTCCAATTTAATTAAAATTAAAAAACAAAAATAAAAATATATATGTATATTTACTAAATAAACTGTTTAAACAAAACTTGGCGTGATTTTGTTTACGTTTAACTCAACTTCGGAGAGTAATTAAATTTTAATCAAACCAGATATGCATGGTTTAACCTATAAAACCAAAAAGTAATAAAGTTCATATAAAAGCAAACGTAGTACAAATGAACAAAGATTAAGATTAGTGAACTTTAATTGAAGACGTAGCAAATATTAATTGGGCTTTTTCATTTCAATGGAAACAACCGGAAAATATTAATTAACTTTTTTAAACAATTATGGGGTCAAATTAAAGTAAGGGGGCCATCTATGTAATCACGCCAGGGTTCTGTAACCACTAAAGCAAATCAACTAAATAGAAGTGAAATCTTTTTGCTATTTACGAGTCATAACGATAATACAAAAAAACAGGATTGTTAAGTCATATATGTATAAATGTAAATGAATAAAATTTTGGTTATCAAGGTGCTCTGGACTACTCCAGAGCATCCCAGAAGATTTTATTAAATAGTACTTCATTATGCATTAAAAAAAAAAAAGAGGTAAAAAATTTATTCCTTCAATTTAGAATCTTTTTAACAAATTTTCAAAAAAGAATAATATTACGTTTTGTTTATATTAAGATTTAAATTACAGTAATTTAATGCTACTTTGCATAAATTAATTAAATATCTTTGCGGGTTTGGTAACAAGGAAAAACAACTTTTACCGATATTTATTATTTTCTTGTTTCTTAGTAACAAATGAAAACAAATATATTACAAGTATGTTACTTTTTTGGGAGAATAAAGCTTTCTTATTTTAACACCAAACAAAAGCACGAGAACAACGCTTCTGTAAGAAAACGGACTTATGATACTTTGTAATATAACAGTAATATGTCTGAGCGTTTGTAACTTGGCGAAAGAAAGTTGTTAGATGTTTTTTTATGAAAAGAGTTATCATAAATTTCATTAAAGAAAGCATGTTACCACAATTTAAAAAAAAGCGTAGGACTATTTTTGTATGTTTAATACGATATTTAGCGTTGTAATAAAGTTTTGCGTTTTTTACTTTTTTCTACTTTTAAGCAATTTTTTTCTAGTATACTTCCTTTGCTGAATTATGTTTACAATTACTGATTGCCTGAAGTATAGAATTAACTATTAGAAGCAAGACGAAACGAAATAAAAATATTTATTGTATATTTAGTGAAAATGAGATAAAGTCTTCATGTACATTGAAATATTTGGTGTCATAACAAAAAATTTTAAGGAGAAAGATATAATAATAACTATGTTTAATCTTACTTTATAAAATTTTCAGAGTGTAAGATGGTGTAAGATGGCGAGAATTAAATAAGTTTAATTTCTTCTTTGACAACCACCCACCAACCGTCAAACACAATTCTCTGAAATAAAGGAAAACATATCTGATTTAGAACCAAAATATTATTTGACATTTTATGTGTAGTGTAAATTTAAAAATCTAAAAATTTCAACCATCTATATATGGTTCAAATTTTTTCTGATAGAATTGTGTAAACCAATAACATCACTAATTATTTTTACGTCCTTAACGGACGTAACAAAAATTTTGTTTTTAAAAAATTGTTGCACCGTGTACAAGTGTAAAAATTATTGTTTGAATTTTACTATTGCTTTCGCAAACTTGAAAGTTTTTATCCTAATTTAAATATAAGTAATTTTTTTTTCAAAGTAATTGAATTAAAATTCTCAATATTATAATTAAATTTAAGTTAAAAAGGTTACTAAACTATAACTTTATAGTTTAGTAACCTTATTAACTTTAAAATTGACTAATCTATAAATTTTACTAAACTATAAGGTGGTCTTTTTTACTTATATTAAATTTTACTAAACTAAAAGATGACAAAATTGAATTTTCTAGTTTGGGTTAAAAGAGCAAAAAAACCCAAATGTTTTTGAGAAAAAAGTAATCATGCAAGTTGCTCAAACTTATGCATTAAACTGATTAATAATTAATAGTTAATTGAAAAGTTAAGAAATTAGATAATATTAATAAAAAAGTAACTTGTACATACATTTGTAAAGCGCAAACAAATAACACTTAAAAGCAACTTAAACAAGTCAAAAGCACAAAATATCACTCAATAAAGTATCAGACAACATCAAAAAATCACTCAGTATAGAGGCAGACAACATATCAAAGACAACTCTTTACGAGTGTGAACAATTAAGTTCAGTCACATGACAGAGGTATAAATTAAACGTTAGAGTAGCATACATGTTTTGTCTTTCAGACCTTCTTCTTCTATAAGACAAAAATACAAGTTGTATTGATACTTCTCAAAAACAACTTTTTGGAGCAAACATCTACAATAATGTGAAATTCTAGAAATTTAACAAAACTATTTTTAAATATTCAAGAAAAACGTCATACAGTTTGCAAGCGTTATTTACCATTGATCTTAAAGCGTGCTGCTAAACGTCTTTTATAGTTAGTATGGTAGCAATAAAAAACTAATTACATAGATGGTAATTATGTCATTTGTTTTTTTACAAAAAATCAATTTTATACAAGAACTTCTGCGAAATGAACAGCCAAACACTGTATTTACAACATTCAAGTCGGTTTATATGAAAAGAAATAATTTATTCAACGGCTTATTAAATTATTTATATCATCAACTAAGCCCGGCGCGATAGGGGTGTGTGGGGTGTGATCCCTTCCCTCCCCCACCCCCTAATCAAAGACTTTTTTGTTCATTTAGTCGGCAAATTTAACAATCAGTTGACAAATGACGACTAGCAAGTCGGCAAATTTCAAAAAACGAGGACCTTTTTTTGTTTTTCACACACACACACACACACACACACACACACACACACACACACATACACACGCACCCACGTGACATCTACTTACGCCGGCCCTGCCAGCAACTAAATTGGTTTCAGGCATTAGTTAACTTAATTAAAGTAGTTGAATCAAGTAATCAATTAATTTTCTTTAACTATAGATATTCACATTTTAACTGTAACGGACACGTCACATATGTTACTTAAAATGTTGAGCTAATTTGCATTGACTATAACATTTGGTTAGTATGTTTACCGGCTCATTTGTCCGACACATTTAACTGTTAAAATCAGCCTTATTTTCATGTTAAACAAGTTTAGCGCAAAACTTACACAATACTTACAGAACTTTTATGCACATTTCAACAATTTAGCAAAAGAAATTTTTATTCAAATGCAATCATTTTTAAATTCAATCCTTTTGGCACTGGTGACACATTTACACAAACACAAATAGTTGCTGGATTTCGAAACACTGGTTTGTTTTTACTTAATATTAGCAAGATTGGTTAATCAACATAAGAAATTGCTTAGATTTTTTGTATACCATTCTCATGTTTTTGTCTAAGTCTGTTGTATCATTCTTATACATATCAAATCTTGAAACACTTTACAGAAAGAAATCGAAGGTAACTTAAAGACAATAAAGTAAAGAAAAGAGTGCAATTTTTTCAATAACCTCATAAATCATATTTTTAAGTTAATGTTTGAATATTAATCTTATACTGTCTTAATTGACGTAACTATGAAATGACGTCATATATCGGTGTCAATAGTTCGATATAAAATTCTTATTGCAAATAAATATATTTAAAACACTCTTGAAAGGTATTTTTTTTTTTTTTTTTTTTTTATTACAATATTTTAAGGTATAAATATCGTTGTACATTAAATATCAGAACACTGAGACTCAAAGAGGATTGTAAGATCCTGTCACTGAGAACCGTTTAACAATGCAGTTCAAATATAACCAGTTAAATAATTACAATAAATGACGTTTAGAAATAAAATTTAAATCCAACCAGATATTTCAAAACATAAAATAATGTTTAACAACATAAAGAATATATATAAAACTAAATATTTCAAAATAAAACAATATATTCAGGAATCACACACTCTTTTAAAAGGTATAAACTCAAAGATATTTTTAATTGACAAGTTAACTTTTTTCAGCTTAATTTTAAAAGTAAGAAAACTCCAACTTTGAGAAAAATCAAAATTTCTCAAAACTATTTTGTTTCACAGAAATGCTTTGCGATATGTTAAAAGAGATCTTCCAAAACTTGTATGAGAATAATGTTGATGAATAAGATTGTCATTTCTTAAGTCATATTTGTTTTTTTGTTTTATTGTATATAAGTTTTGAAAGGATATAGGGGTTAGGTTTATCTTACATTTGTGCATAAATAAAAGAGCATTAAAACCATTTTGCTGGTATATATTTAAAGCATTCAATTCCAATAAATGAGGTCTGGAATGAGTATAACAATCTTTAAAGTTTATTAGACGTGCTATATCCTTTCTTCTTTCCAAGTTAATTAATAGTTTATTTGACTTAAATCAATTTGAAATTTTTATTAGTTCTATGTTGATTTCATTAAATAGTGTAATGATATTTTTACCGGATAGAAAAAGATTTGTATCATCAGCAAACATTACTGTCTTCAAATTTTAGGCATTGAACAGATCGTTAACATAAATGAGAAAAAGCAGTGGCTCAAGTATAGACCCTTGGGGAACACCACATGTTATATCTAGAACTTGTTGGGGAGGATACGTCAATTTGCGCAAACGGGTTACGATTGCTTAGATAGCTTTTTAGCAAATTTAATAAATTTCCGCTGATTCCATAGTTTTTATGTTTTTGTATAAAAATCTTATGATCTATCGTATCAAAAGCTTTTGATAGATCAATGAAAACTCCAAGAGTAAATTGTGATTTCTCAAAAGAATCTGCAATATTACTAGCTACATGAAGTATGGCGTATTCTGTGGAACTATTTTTTTTTAAATCCATATTGACTGGCATTTAATATTTTATTTTTAGAAAGATGCTCATACATTTTGTTGTAAAGAATCCTTTCAAAAACCTTTGAAAAGCCAGAGAGTACAGATATTGGTTGATTATATTTGATAATGATCTCGTAAGATAATATAATAATGTTACTATTTATTTCGCCCTGACCTTTCGCTTTATTTGCTTTTAGCATTTTATAAGCACATTCAAAATCTTTTATTGAAATTTCAAAATTATTAAGTACAGAAATTTTGGGAAGTGTAAAATAATTTGTTTTGTTAGTTACAACTGGAATATTTTTTGCTAGATTAGGACCAACAGATACAAAATAGTTATTTATCTGATTTGCTATACCTTTTGGATTATATATGAAATCATCATTGTTTCTAATAACTTTTGGTAAGTTGCATGTTTTAATCTTATGGTTGCCAGTGATTTCATTTAAAACTTGCCACGTGCGCTTTGAGTTATGTTTAAATTTCTCTAGTAGGTTTGAGTAGTATTTTTTTTTAAGTTTTTTATGTATGTTGAAAGTTGAAAAACAAAAAAGGATTTGAGAAATTTTTCTTTTTAATTCCCTTTATTTTTTTATGGACCATGGTTTTTATTTTTGCTATTAACGCATTACAATCACATTTTCTTTTTATTACTTATTTATATTTTAATTTTTATTTAGTTTTTTATTAGTAACACAAGTTATTATTTTATTATTAAGTTATTATTGTTAATTTCTGCTCCAAATATATTCAAAGTGACATACATTAACTAAACAACAGGGATGAAGAAACATCCACTAATGTTTTTTGATTTTGACAGATAGTCTATTTTTTCAGCTTTTTTCTGTCTTGTTCCCTAAAATTATTTTAAATATTTATCTCTACAGTTATTACTGTTTTCTATAATTTTGAAAGAATATTTTACTTAATTATCAATGGCTTAATTAATTAACTTAATTATCACCTAATTATCAATTAGGGTTGGTGTCACCCAGTGAGGTAAACTCTTGATGTTACCCCTATAGACTTTCACTAATCACTTTAGACCTTTTTCGAGTGTTCCAATATATACGAACACTCGGAAACATTGTATACTATAGAACATATATAGTCATTTTAAAATTTAACTTCAAGACTTCAGATAAAACATAAATTAAGAATTTATGACAAAATTCAGTTGTTGTAATTTAACATTAAACTTTATTTTATTAAAAAGTTTCCCATTCTGGTCTTCAAAGCTGCAAACTTGTCAATCACATCGTCAAAACCAATGTCTTTCATCAAATCACTTTCAATTGATAAATAGAGCCAAATTAGAAAGCCTTGACTGTCTCGCAAATAGTTCTTTATAAGATTCAGTTTTGAAAAGCTCTTCCCACACGAAGCCACAGACACACATATTGTGAGAAATAATTATAATTTTAGTGAGAGTATTGGAAGAGACTCACACCGGACAAAGTTTATAAGGGTAGCTACAATCGGCAGAGCAGAGCAGATTGGCTGAGCAGACAATTTATTTGGTACAAACGGCACGTCTGCCTTTTGTACGATATATTTTATAACTCACCCTGCAGAGTGGATTGTAAAATCAGCTAAATTATTTTTAGAGCCATTCTTTTGGAGTATAAAATGAGCTGAATTCTTATAAGTGATCTGCCAAATACATCGGCAGAACAAATATTAGAATAATAAAAAACAATGAATTGAAACATAATAGTAGAAGGAATCATTATAGACACAATGTTTCATATTTGATTGAAGGTTGATGATAAAAAGAATATCTTGTCAATAGGTAATATAAAATTACTGATGGTACATTTATTTTACAATTAATCTTTAATCAAACGTGATACATTGTACCTAAACTTGCGGAAATCCGAACAACCTGATTCTAACATGTGATCTGCCGAATTATTTTGCTGATCACATATTAGAATATAGAAAATCACTTTTTTATTGGTAAGGCGTTTACTACCTAAGTACAAATAAAGTGCTAAGTCTTTAAGATATTAATTCGTTCTAAGGTTAAATTCGATTTGGAGTACTTTGAGTGTATGTGATCTGCAAAATTATTTAGCAGATTTCTTTGAAAAATTCAGCTGATTTTATTATCCGATATGCCGTTCGTACCATATGAATGATCTGCTCTGCCGATTGTACCTATCCACTTATAAACATATCTGCAGTATCCCATGTGGAATAAGTTTCAATTTCAAATTCCAAGTCAATTCCACAAAACATGTCTTCTACTGATGAAGCAGAAGACGAAGGTGAATGGTGCGATTTTGCAGATACAAATGATAGCATAAAAAATTGTGTTTGTTTATTTTGTAGTCATACTTCATTAACAGCAGAAAATACGTTTTTTCATATCAAAGAGATACACAAATTAGATTTTATCAGTTTGATTAAAGCAAATCATATTGATTTTTACAAATATGTAAAACTCGTTAACTACATTCGATCAAATAAAACTCAAGTTGATTCCGTGCATCAATTATCTTTTGATCTCATATACACAGACGACAAGTGGTTTCAACCTGTTATAGAGGATGACTTATTGCTACAATTTGATGTGGATGAAATATTTTCCAAAACTGGCTCCCTTACTGATTATAATTTAAATTCTTTAAATGAATTAAACTTAAAAAAAAAGTTGGATATTACAGAGGAAAGAGCTTGTCTTGCAGAAGAATTTTTGCTACGCACAATTGATGATCTAAACAAATGCAGAAAAGAAATAAATTTGATGCTTCTTGAAAACCCTTCTCAACCCTGTAAGACAGTTACTGAAAATGATAGCAATGGCTACTTTGGATCTTATGCTCATTTTGGAATTCATGAAGAAATGCTGAAAGATAAAGTACGAACAGAAGCTTACAAAGATTTTATTTATAATAATCCTAAAACATTTTCAGGTGCCAAAGTGCTTGATATTGGTTGTGGAACTTCAATATTATCAATGTTTTCAGCAAAAGCTGGTAATTATAAAGTTAAAAATAATACAACTAATAATAGATTTGTTCTTAAATAAGTTAGCAACTCCTGCTATTTTTAAAATAGCCTTTTAAATTTTTTAATGTGTTTCAAGTTAATCAGCCTAAAGTTGTTATATTTTTCATTTTTGAAAAAACAGAAAAGAGTGTAAAAATGCATAACAATAAAATAATAATAATAGTAGATAACAATTATTTGTAATGATTATTTGTATATTTATAATAATAATTATTATTATTAATCATCAAAAAATATTTACAATAATAATTATAAAATTTATTATAAATATTTTATGATATGTTTTAAAGTCTCTACAAATGAGAAATTATTGTAGGGCATATAACTGTAGTATTACCATTATATATATATATATATATATATATATATATATATATATATATATATATATATATATATATATATATATATATATATATATATATATATATATATATATATATATATATATATAAATTTTGTAGAATACATTTTAAAAATTGTTTAAACACACAAACACACACACACACACATGTATACATACATACATACATACATACATACATACATACATACATATCTTCAGCTTAAAAGTTTTTTTTTTTTTTTTATATCTTATTTTCAAAATGACAGTTCTATTTTATGTCAATGGGATGGTTTCATTGTTTTCTAATGTAAGTGCGCCAGAAATGGTGTATGAAATTTGACACATATTGTCCCTCGTCTAAATTGATACCATCTTGTTAAGGGGGGCATTAGTGGTATTGTATTTCAAGTTTCTCATGAACATTCCTATCAAACTTTTTAGCATCAACTTTTAGAGTTCTGTAACTGTCCCAATTAATTTGTTGTGACAATATCTCGTGTCTGGCTAATGCAGATCGTTCTGTTTTATTTCCTATTGTACTGTTTTTGTGTTGTTGCATGCGTGTTTTTATTTGTATTTTTGTTTCACCTATATACTTTTTGTTACAATGACATTTAATAAGGTAGACTCCTGGGTGGCTGTTCATTTGTAGTTTGGATTTATTTCTTGATGTTAATATTGCCTCTATGTTCAAGTTTGATTTGAAGACCGTTTTATATCCTGCCTTTCTAAACACCTTAGGTAATGTGGGAGACAATATTGGTACCCAAGGTCGTTAAAATTGTTGGATACATACTGGTGATATTTTCAATGTTTTTAGTAGTCACTAGTGGTTTTTTGTTCTTTCATTTTATTTCTTTTATGATTTTTATGATAAAACAGAAAGATCTGCATTAGCCACACACACGAGACATTGTGCACAACAAATTAACTGGGACAGTTGCAGAACTCTAAAAGTTGATGCTAAAAAGTTTGATAGGAAAGTTCATGAGGTACTTATAATACAGTACCACCAATGTGCCCCTCAACAAAATGGTATCAATTTAGATGAGGGACAATATGTGTCAACAAAATTTCAGACACCATTTCTAACGCACTTTCGTTAGAAAAAGATGAAACTATCCCATTGACATAAAATAAAACTGCCATTTTAAAAAAATAAGATATAAACAAAAACAAACAAAAAACTTTTAAGCTAAAGACACTGGTCACAACAATCCAGAAAAAATTTCTTTAAAGAAATAATTTTAGTATCGAGAGAAATTCGTGTTTACTGATGTTTGTAAAATAATAATAATAATAATTATATATATATATATATATATATATATAATATATATATATATATATATATATATATATATATATATATATATATATATATATATATAAATATATATATAAATATATAGGCCTCAGCGGAAAGCAAGAGCTTTAGTTCTCGCTCTCACCCAAACTCCCAATTTGCTCACGTAAACTCAAACAGTTTACGGGAGCAATTTACAGTAGGGTTTCTGAAAAACAGTGGTTTTTGAAAAACAGCTGTTTTACTTTTTTAGAATTTCTAAAAACAGCTGTTTTACTGTTTTTTTAAATTCGGAAAATTTTTTATTTATAAATGAGTACTCCTAGGTGCTTAATACACAGGAGGAGACATTTATTATTTTTCTGAATTTTTTTCAACCAACTAAATCTGTCCTAAATTTTAAAAAAGTTTCTTGAATTATTATTTCTTTTTTAAAAGCTCTAGCATTATTGATATTGTGTTCCAGAGATTTTTTACAGCAAGATGAAGTTTAATTTTTTTTTTCAAGTAGAACCTTGACTTTTTATTGATAAACTTGATTTCGTTTAATGTATTTTATCAACTTGCATGAGTTTTTAAGTAAATCATTGTAGTCATTATTATCTTCACACTCATCATATATAACTTTATAATTGGTTCCTTCATCAAAAAAACTAATCTTACTTTAAACATTTTATCTTCAATATTAACAAAATATCTTTGTCCTTATAAAGTAGTAACCTTTTCAATAGTCATGCAAAACTTTCCTTTATTGTCTACCTTTAGTTTTATGGTATCAATCATTTTTTTTTTTGCTTTTCGTAAAAATCATTGTGCAGAAGTTTCATTGCATCGCCTTCGTTAGAGGGGAGTTTAAATATTACAAATTTACCCACCATCAAAAAAAAAGTTCATAACTGTAACTACACAATTATTTTTAAGTTAATGTAAATAAGAAACTTGTTCTAGAAGCTCTATTTATAAATTAATAAACTTTCAAGAAAATTTTAGTACTAGATCAGTAAAATAGAACAATTAAAATAAGAAACTCCCTAATATGTGCTAACCTAGTACTTTGTGCTCAGTTTTTTTTTAATAAAAAAAGTGCCAACTACTAAACTAAAGTTATTTATTAAAGTTACTTATTATACAAAAATTATATGTTTTATATACAAAATTTAAAATGAAAGTCAAATCAAATTGCCATTGTTTTAATAAACATGTTGTTAAAGAAACTTTTATATTAGCAATTTTGATATATAATTTTTTAAATTTGAAACCTTTTTTTGAATTTGAAACATAAACTATATGACATATAAAAGTAAACCTTGTTTAAAACTTTTATCTAAAAATGTTTGAATGAAAAAATCAAATCATTTTCAGGTTTGAATGAATCTTTATCTTGTTAAAACTCATTATAACATCGAAACAGAACTTATTCATTTCGACGAACATATAAAAAAAGTTTAAGATTTTATTTTTTTGTCGCCTTAACTTTAATTTAAAAAAATTGAAAAAAACAGTAAACACAGTCATTTAAAAAACAGCTGTTTGCTGCTTTTAATTTTTCTTAAAAAACCAGCTGTTTTACTGTTACTGTTAAACAGTGTTCAGAAACCCTAGTTTACAGCTCTCGCAAAACTTTTTTTTTTTTTCTTAAAAGTATAATTATCATTGTAACTAAAATGTAAAACATTAAGTCAAAAAAATTTAATGAATTGGGTAATAAACATGCACGGTTTTTGAAAAAAAAATTTTACGCCTAAAGAATTATTTTACGGCGCAATAAATGACACTTATTATGTGTATATTATTGTAACATTAACATTCCAAACATGTTTGTAACAAGTATAAAACCAAACTTTGAATTTAACAAGCAATTTTTATATAAACAGATAAACAGATAGCTTGTGCAAAAGCCAAAAGCTCTTGTGAAAAGCAGTTAAGTGGAGCAGCTTGCATGGCTCGCCATGTTCGTTTTAATGTTCGCTTTTCTCAGCTCTTGCACTCATTTACTCCCGTTGAAGCCTATATCGGCAATGCCGACCTAACTGCCGACCTAAAAGTGCTTAAAGTTGACTTAAATTGCCAACCTCGTTTCTATGTTTTATGGTCAGACCTTTGTATCAAATAATTTATGCCGACCTTATGCTGACCTCAAAAAGATTAAGGTCGGCAAATTATTGTTGACCTCATTTTTTCTAATTCCGCGAGTTGATATATATACATATACCGTGGGTTAATATATATACAGGGGTCGAAATAAGTGTTGGTCATCTGCACTTTTTAGTTTCAAAAATGGTTTGAGGGCTGCAATTCTGACACCTATATTTAACCCCTAAAACACATATATAAAAAGATTGAGGTCTGCAAAAAAAAATGTTACAAAGGTCTTACCATAAAACATAGAAAAGAGGTTGGCAATTTTTTGCCAACATCAAACACTTTTAGTCAGTCAGGTCGGCATTGCCGAATACCAACCCTAATTCCGAGGGTTATATATATATATATATATATATATATATATATATATATATATATATATATATATATATATATATATATATATATATATATATATATATATAAAAATACCTATAAACACTTTTTGGTCATTCTCTATAAAATCATCCACATAAAATAAATTTGTTACCCTTGTCTCAAAATTGACATTTTGATTTTACATCATTTACACTTTATATTAAATAAATGATAACTGCAAAAAGTTCAGCTAAAAATACATGGTTTATTGAAATATTGTCAGTTGAAATAATGCTGTTTTAGTAATTTTTATGGTTAACTGAAGAGACAGCAAAGCAAAATCCACATATAATATCTTGCCAATTGTTTGAAGGATTTTCTTAAAATTAGGAACTAAAATAGATTTTTGTTAAAGGAATTCAAAAATACTACTCTTAGGACTTAATAGTCTCAAAAATTGCCTCATTTATCAAAGTTTATTCAAAATTATAGGTTTTCTTGGGGTACTTAATAAAAAAATTAAAAATAAAAAAGTTCATTTACATCTTTAGCAATCCCTATTCACCAAACATGCAATGTAGTATATATTTTTTAACGTTTAATGAAATCTCTTAAGTACTTTTGTTTTTTGGAATAATATCAAATACTATTTGATATTGTTCCAAAATGAATAAACCATTATGTTTATCCACACATGTTTTTTTTATAACTTGTTGTATTAGAGCTAATAGGAACAAAATGATGATACTGTTCTACCGTCAAAATATCTTTTTTCTAAATATGCTTTAGTAAGCTTTATTTCCTCCTTTAAAATTTTTCTTAAAACAAATGCCAGTTGATTTGACTTCACAAAA